CAGGCGTTACCGTGTACCTGGGGATTTTCGTGGCCATCCCTGCGCTGGTGTCTCCGCGCTTTAGAAACACTGCTCTGTTTTTACAGCGTCCCTCTGCGCTGAAGGCGTTTTAATTTCCATATGAGAAGCTGAGGTATGCGTATGTAAATTTGGGGCACGCCAAATAATTCTAGGTGCAAAATGAGAGAGGTCTGTGTCCAACTCACCTCGTAAATCTTCCAAACTTTAGAAAAGAACAAAATATTTAATAGGAATGCCTATTTTTCAAGGGCACATAGTGAGTGAACAAGGGGTAATGGCTTTGGGAGAGGGGAGATGGAGATGAGATGTGAGGAAGAAATTCTTCAGTGAGAGGGTGGTGAGACACTGGCCCAGGTTGCCCAGAGAAGCTGTGGCTGCTCCTCCCTGGAAGTGTTGAAGGCCAGGCTGGATGAGGCTTTGAGCAACCTGGTCTAGTGGAAGGTGTCCCTGCTGCTGGCAGGGGGGTTGGGACTGGATGAGCTTTAAGGTCCCTTCCAACCCAAACCTTCTATGGTTCTCTTCCACATTGCGAATAAGAAGGGGGTCAGCTGGGGAAAGATGGCTTTAATTTCACAACCAGGTGTACCAACACTTCTGAAATTATGTTAAATTTAAGTTGTCTAGACATTCCTAATTTGAACACCTTTTATTTTTTTATTTATTACTGCTTGACTTTGCAGTATCCCGTAGTCTGAATGTGGAGAAGGTGACTAAAAGCTGTTTCTTTTCAGCAGCTTTCTGTTTTCTTGTACAAAGCAGAAAATGGTTGTACCATCCACACAGCTGTAGTAGGATGTAGGTATTCCAGTGCAGTGAGCAGCTCTTTAAGCCATTGGCAGGCTGCAGTTGTGTTTGCTTAGGTGAGGGTTCTAGGACAACAACAGACTTCCTAAAATGAGAAGCAGATGCTCTAATCTAGGAAATGGAAAATATTCTTCAGAACTTTAAGATGCAGGAGAATGCAAATCTCTCGAACATTCAGGTATTTGACTGGCTAGGGATAATCTAAATGAAGTAGCAGTGATTCATTCTTGCTGATAATTACTTTCAGGTCACATTTCAAGCCTCAGTACTGTTAATTTGTGGGCAGGTTTTCTGCAGGTGTGAGAGTGGAGAGCATTAATTTGTTTCATTTTTCTCAGCTCTCAAGAACAGTTTAAACATAGAAAAGAAAATCCTGAAGGCTAATTACATACACATTTAACATGTTTGTGGAAATCAACATCTTATGAAACTCTTCTAAAATGTGTGCAGGTGGATCTGAGTTTTTAGTAGTAACTGTATTGGTAGCAAGACAACTTTTTTCGAAGATATTTTTATATTGTTTTAATTATCGTGTGCAGAAGAGACTATATTTTATTAAGCCTCTACTACACAGCTGTAAAGGGGAAGGAGTGGTTTATAAGGAGTGATGTTCAGAATTTGCATTCTAATGTAGCAACAGCAGAACCTGTGATACCTTTAAAGCTTTTTTTTAATAAATTTTTTTGATAATTTATTTCACACCAAAACTATTTATGATACAACAGGTAATTATTACCTTACCCTTCTTGTGTTTCTACTTTTTTCTGATTCCTTTTCCCTGTCTCCTGTAATGAAAGAAGCCTTTGAAATAAAACAATTTTTTCTGTTTTTTTTTTCTCCCCCCTTCCCAGTATAAGTTCAGAGACCTGACCATAGAAGAACTAAAGAATGTTAACCAGACCTACCCAAACTTCACATTCTCCATGAACACGTACAGTAAGTGATACATTGAACTAATTGGGATTCTTACTTACCATAAATTCAGACTGTGTATAATAGAATCTACATTGTATGAATATCTTTCAGTTGTGTTTCTCTTTATTTTGACTTGCAGTAAAATTTCTCATGCCACGTGACTGTTTTTGAAAGTTCTTCCAAGAATGCATACAAATGAAAACCTAAGCAACTCATTCACTGAATTTAATTTTGACTTGTCAGTAATTATAGAAGATTTATGTTCTTTGGAATTCTTTATATGTAACAGTATTTTTCCCATATCCCATGATTGTATTGAAAGCATTTTGGTGTCTTTAGTTTATGAAATGTAACTTCTGGAATCCCTCAGCCTGACTGAAAGTTCCTACAACACCAGAATTACTCAGGACAAGGGATTTTCAGACTAATGTGCTTAGTTGTCCCAATGCCATTTTCATTAAGATTCCAATAAGAAATTATCTCAAAGGGAGAAGGGGGACCTTAGTAACATTTTAGCCTTGGTTCTTCCAGGAGCAGTGTATTTGATATCTAAAGAAAAATTAGTGTTGTGTATTGGTAGTTGTGGATGGGATTGCCATGCCAGATTTGAAAGGATTTATTACTATTATTACCTTAAAATCACATTTTTAATTTTAGCCTTCAAGGATGGATCCCAGAAGGACCTCCTGAATTTTAGCGGTACTGTTCCAGTGAAATATGGTAAGATAAGGCAAATATAATTTCCTTACTGGTTATGAATCTAATTGTATAGTTTGTTGGGTACTACCTCTTAATATATTGTGCAGCTTCTTTAAAGGTGGCTATAAGGATTTTGCATTAATTGTCAGAAGGCACTTCTGCTGCCTAAACAAGTCCCTTCATGCACTCATAAACGCTGAAATAAGGTGCTATTAGATAAGTCAATTAAAAAAATCATGTAGTTTCAGACTGTAGGCAAACTCTTTGGTTGTCATGGAGGTTGCATGAACTCTACAAGCCCTATGCTTGTATTGGCAGTGTCCAGAGGTAACTAGTAGGTAATTTTTAATTTTTAATTTAAAGCCTTTGAAGGCTGAAGTAAAGCTCTTTAATAGATGCCTCTTTGCATCAGTTGTTCATTCCTAAGATAAGTATGAAATGGGTAGCTGTAAGAGATTGCTTTGCCTGGAAAAGGGGACACACTGGCTGTTAGAATACCCTGGGAAACAAAACGATGACAAAGCTTTATATTAAGAAAGACACAATGGTTAGCACTTCAAGTTGATCCAGACAACCCTGCCTTTATTAACTAGTCTAAGTAACATAAACACTTTCCAGTGTCAATCTAGAAAGTGATCTGTCAGGCTTTTTTTCTTTTTTATTAAGAAGTGTGAATCACACGCACAAATGCCTGGTTTGTGGTGCCTCTTCTCAATGCAGAAGTTAGCAATGGCTTTTGTTTTGTGTTAACAGGTAATTCCTATAACATACCTGTTCGTCTGTGGATTCTGGATTCTCATCCCTTTGCTCCCCCCATTTGTTTCTTGAAGCCGACGTTGAACATGAGCATTTCAGTGGGAAAGCACGTGGATGCTCGTGGCAGGATTTATTTGCCCTACCTGCAAAACTGGAGCCATGTAAGAGGTGGAGTGGCTGACAGGGGTGGAAAGTATTTGGGAAAGTATTTGGGCTGACAGGCGTGGAAAGTATTTGGGCAACCCCAGGCACAAATACAGGCTG